GCACAAAACAAATGAAGGCAATTTTGTCAAGATTGTGATAAAATAACAATATTGTTATCATAAAAAAAACTACTTTATAAACTAACCAGGTTGATATCCATTCCTGTCTTTTTCCAAGGTTATAGAAGAAGTTGTTGCCAACCAAAAACTGGCATGGTGTAACGTGCTCCCTGTAAAAAAGAGTTTTAGATAAATAACAAATTAAATCCACCAAACAACCACAAACTTTGTATTATAACTTACATGGCTGGATTCGCAAGCATTGTTCTCTCAAACAACTCCCACTCCAACTGACAAAAAACAGGGAGTAAGTCATTTGATGCTTGTTTCGGCCTAATTGCCAACACTTTAACTAGCTCCATGTGTTCTACAGAGTAAGTTGGCGTGTCCTCTACATGTCTTTTGGTAGATTTCGAAGATTGCACCAGGTCCTACATGGATTTGAAAATATGTTATAATACAATACCCATACAACAATATAAGATTGTTAATTCAGATAGAAAAACATAACTAACCTCCTTGTTCTTAACTACGATATTCAACTGTTGACAACCAATATCAATAGGTTCAACATTTGATGACTTAATTTCTGACTCATTCTTATACAACGTCACCTTATCCACGACTTCTCGACCACCATCTACAATCTGATTTATAAAACAAACATGGTCAGTAATCCAGGAATACATGTACTAATAAAATGCATAAACCATGGAAACCATATCTAACCTCATCCATAGGTTCACCATTTGATGACTGAATTTGCAACTCATCCACAATATCATCCTGTCTTTGTGTGGTCAAATTAACATCTTTATCCACGGATCTTCGACCACCATCTACAACCTGATTTATAAAAGAATAATGGTCACTAATTAGGTAACACTTGTATAAAATGCATAAAAAAATAAACCATGGAAACCAGATCTAACCTCAGATTTGTTAATTCTGATATTAGCGATAGGTTCACCATCTGATGACTGAAGCTGCAAATCGCCACCGTATCATCTGGTTTTTGTGTGGTCAAATTATCATCCCTATCCGCTGCTGCCTGACCACCATCTAAAATCTGATTGTTAAAACAATAATGTATAAGAACAACAGACAACCAGATCTACCTACTTCTCTTGAAAATATATGAGTTCATTTATAAAATTCCAGAATACATTCATAAAAGGAAAACCAAATCAAACTACTTATAACACAAAACATACAGTATCCATGGATTCTTGGCCATCATCCTTTATTGCTTTTACCTAATAAACATGGTCATTAGTGGAAAAATATTGTATGAAGCAAATCTCTAAAAAGAAAAATCCATCGATAAGACTGTATCACATCGTCATCCTTTTCAGAATAATTTACTTCTCCAGAGTCTTCCTGCAATTTGATGCTTAGAATAATCACTAAAAAAACAAGTACGGACAAAAAACTAAACCAACAACCATTTTTAGATCGGTTCCTATGTTTAATAATTATAAAGATTTTAACAAATTTTTACCTTCACATCTTCTTCCATGGGATCCAGCTTATCATCAGTGCCCTAAATCATTGTTTTTGTTAAAATATGCACTAAGAAAGAAATAGTTATAAGAACATAATTACTCTCATCCACTGGTGACTGACCACAATACATTTTCATATTCACTCTCATCCACTGGTGACTGACCACAATACGTTTCCTGATTTTAGGAAAAAGACGATGGTCAACACGGCCATAACAATACAATGTCAAAACGCTATCAAAGAAGATAAAAACATAATGATACCTCCGTATTATTCTTTGCAGAACCATTTCCACTTCCAGATCTTCTTGTATTTAGGTTCTTAGTATAAACAAGAGAAAAAACGGCTAAAAACAAAATAAAACACAGTAAACACTCATACCAGTGTATGATTGATATCTTTGACGATCTGCTGAGTATCACCATAATATTCCCAGTCATTTTATAAACCACCTTTCAGAGATGCTTCTGCTTCATGCACATTATCCTCTTCAATAACGTCTCCACCAGACTTTGATTTAGAGTACTTTTTCTTTTTAGTTGCTTTCGCCTTTCTTCCAAAATTCAACCTTCTTCTGGATCTTTTAACAACTCTATTCCTCCTCAACTCTTTTAGTTCCTTCTCAGCCTTTGAAATTCGTTCATACAACAACTTATTCTCCTCTTTGTACGCAGAAACAAACACTTCAATCTTTGATTCCATCCATTTTTTCAATTCACTTACAGTGGCATGACCCTCTCTTATCATAAATTTTTGTATCGTTTGTTGCTTCCGGCTAGAATGTCGCTCTTTTTTTCTTTTCACCTTTCGATTAGTCTGCACCACTCTCTTCCTTTTCAAACCAGAGGATTCTCCTTCATCAGCATCAGTGTTCTCAAAATCAGAGTCCTTTAAGATTCGGCCACACTCTGGTTTCCTTGACAAAACGTGTTTCTTGTGTCCGGCTCTCGCAGCAACATGTTCTTTAACCTTGTGAATGTATAATACTGAAGAATCATCTCCACCATGCCACACATCATTCTTAAAAACATGACCAGTATTGATTAACCCCTCAAGATATACAATCGTTCTCTCTTGGACCTCATCATCCCAATAACCATGAAATTCTTCGCCAATTTCATTAGCATCAAGTTTAGGCAAAACAACAAGCTGCATAATAACAAGAAACTATTACGTTAATAGACAAACAAACAATTCCACAAAAATAAAATGCTATAAATATAGAAACTAATCATTAAATAATCGATAAAATCTTACATCACTATTGTGCTCAATTGCAAGCACATCTGCAGCGGTAATTGTCGTCAGTTTCGTAAGACCAACAAATTTGGTATTGAGCTGAGTCGATTAGGTGGACGAATCTGGCAATTTGGTCAACAACTTAGGAATCAAAGGCAACCAACTGCAAGGCTAAAGGAAAACCATTCATCTTAATGGACTCCTGTTTCATTCTGCTCTGAAATGCTTCCACGGGGTCTGGAAATCTCTTAGTGGCCTTGG